ATAAAAGTTTCAACTCTTCTACATATTGAGAACATGGTTTCAAATTTTTTACTAATTAATTAATTACTCTATATATTATATTTTAGTACGAGGTTCAAGAAGAATATATATATTTGCATCACAAGTGTCATTGAAGAGAGCAACAGCCGCCACATGGACGACTCTCTAACTTTAAAATGAAAATAAAAACATTAAAAATCAAGTAAATTTGGTTTGTCGGCTGTTATCCCATCCCCCTCTTTTAGTAACATGTTCAGCCAAACGGCATGGAACTTTCTAAATTCATATGTACTTTTATTTTTGTTTGGTTCAGTCAAACATTTTATCTTATCGTGCTTTGATACCGCTAATGGATACACAGTGGGCAAGGCTTACTCAATGATGGCTGGTCAGAACAGTATTTTGGAACCAAGAGTCTGCACAAGGCTATGGAACAGATTAGTACCAATCAAAGTGAGTTGTTTTGGTTGGCGCCTCCTTCTCAATGGCCTCCCAACAAAATATGGTCTTTTGAAGAGGGGTGTCAAGGTGGAAGAAGCAGAAACGATCTGTTGCATATGCAGAAGGGACCTCGAGGATGAAAATCACTTGTTCGCTCAATGCCCAAAGGTACAGAGCCTATGGATGAAATGCTACAACTGGTGGGGGATTTATTTATCCCTGCCCAACTCCATTCCCCTTCTTTGTGAAGCTCACAGCTTTGGGATCAAAAAGGTGGTAAAATCTGATGTTTGGTTTCTCATTTTCTTGGTGATCACTTGGTCCATATGGTATATGAGAAACTCTATCATTCATAACGCACAACAGTGGGATGAGGGTAAGGCTTTTGATTTAATTCAAAGGAGGACTTTTGCATGGATAAGGGGGAAGACTAAAAATTCCATGTTCTCTTTTTTTCACTGGTGTAATTCCCCTAGTCTATGTGTTCAAGAAATTACTAGAAGTTAGTTTTGCTTAGGCACTAAGACTTTCCTTCTTGATTTGATTTTGAGTGCCTTATCTATTATTATCCTGTAAGGCGTTTTGTGACTATGGGTGGAGTACCCCTTGTACTCCGTATGATAATACATACTTTGATTCATCAAAAAAAAAAAAATCTTATCGTGCACAACAACACCGCGCATGACATTCGCATTATCATGGGTAAGGTGTGCGCCAAAATCCTTGCCCCTTGAGCTAGCGATGTTACAACGAGAAAAAAGAAAAAATCTAACGAAACACTAGAATAGAATATTCATTCGTTCGTGGGTAGAATCTCT